TTAGAAAACTGATTTTCTATGTACCTATAATACCTGAGGCAATTTCGACCTCATTATAATGTTTTTAACATTAATTAAATATTTTTTTTTTCAAAATTAGAACATTTTAGATTTTTAAAAAAAAAAAAAAACGTGACGAAACACATTTTGACCCCCCTCCCCCCTGTCACAAATTATTGCCCCCCTCCCTCCTGATCGTGACGTAATTTGCGTACGATCCCCTAGATGAACATTCTGAACACCAGCAAACGTCTTCGTTAGAGATTAAATTTCTATGACATGGAGGGTGTTTGCTTTAAATAATAAGTAAAATAAAAAGTGAACTCAAATACTTTTAAAAACACAAAATGGTAAATGATGCGGTCCAATACATTATGTTTTGACATGTAGTTAAATAAGTTATTGCAGTGTTACGTAAAACATTGACATGGAGGTGGCAATCATGTTACTGTCCTTAAGCTTGTGAACAACTGCTAACATTACTTGTTTGGTAGGAAATAATGGGGGAAAAACTATTCATTATAGGTACATATACACACCACTCTTACAGTTGGAGTTTTAGGATCACTGGCGTAGGTATAGGAAGGGGAAAAGGGGGGGGGGTCAGTCAACAGTTGGAGTTTTAGGATCACTGGCGTAGGTATAGGAAGGGGAGAAATGGGGGGGGGGGTCAGTCAACAGTTGGAGTTTTGTAGGGCAGGATTTTTCGATACATTTCAATGTTAACACTGTTAAAGACGTTTTATTCTTTGCGTACTATGTTTCGTTTTCGTGAAGGGGGGGGGGTGGCAAGGAACTCCCCGGGCGTCAAANAGTCAACAGTTGGAGTTTTGTAGGGCAGGATTTTTCGATACATTTCAATGTTAACACTGTTAAAGACGTTTTATTCTTTGCGTACTATGTTTCGTTTTCGTGAAGGGGGGGGGGTGGCAAGGAACTCCCCGGGCGTCAAAAACCCTAACAACGCCACCACTATAACGAACTAAACTAAGAACATTGTTAAAATTGATCAACGCTCTTGGGGGCGTATGAGGATATCAACACACAGACTAGACACAAAAAGGGGTTGGACTATAAAGTTAATCCTGTCAGTCTTTATCTCAAGTTTGCTTACATATTGTAATGCCGGCCATACTTTAACTCTCATCTCAATTTTGCTTACATATTGTAATGCAGGTCATCCTTACATCCTTATCTCAAGTTTGCTTACATATTGTAATGCCGGCCATTCTTTAATCCTCATCTCAAGTTTTCTTACAGATTGTAATGCAGGTCATACTTAAATTCTTATCTCAAGTTTGCCTACAGATAGTAATGCCGGTCATACAACATTATACTTATAAACCAAACTTCCTAAATCCCACGTGCCAGCACAAACACATTTTTTGTTTATTTTAAGAGAGAGTACCAACTTATCTTTCAATGCACCCAAATAGCTATTTATAATTTTGGACTAATTTAGAATATTTTAATTGCCTAGTACATTTGGTAGGATTCCACACTTATGATTTATTAGAAACTCAATAACATTTTCAATTTCAATTCAACGACCTCTCTAAAAACAGAGCTGTTCGTATAAATCCTTTCTATCAATTTTTTTTTAAAGTTATTTAATTTTATATTGATATTGTAATGTCACACCCGCTTTTAAACCACAGATTTATTTCACCAACTATTTTCATTAAAAAAACAAAAGATAAAATTTCGCACCAAACTCACTTAAGATTAAAAAAAAAATTTAAAAAAATAAAGAATCTCGTTTAGCACAGTTGTCGGAAATTTTATTTCATGAAATTAGTGATATCATATTTCCTTCATCTTCCTCTTGAATAACAGGAAAAACTTATTATTGGCGTTTGGGAAGCGGGCTGAAAATATGACAGATGATGTTGTCTTTGGTCCATGAGTCTAAGCGCCAAGTTTCAGATCGATAGGTTGACGGGAAGTGGGGCAATGAGCCGTCCGAAGGTTTTGCCCCAATCACATAAAAGCGATTTAATATAAAGGATTTTTAAAAAGGAATTAAGTGATCTATGATCGAAAATTGGTATAGGTTAGTTAAATCGTGTGGAAAACGATATTGTTAGTGTTTCCATTTGTTCTCAATTTATCCAAACTTCGAGACATGCAGAAGCCCTTTAAATAATTATTATTTGAATTTTTTCTGAGTTATTTTAATAATATAAAGAAAGTATTTGGAACCACGCAAAATTTTCAAATCCAAATTTTATATTTAGACTTTTGCACACTGAGCAATGTTTTTAAAAAAAGACTTTGAAAAAGCATACATCTAAGCAAAACATTGCAAATAAACTGTGGAAAAGACATTGTTGTTTCTTTTACAATTTACGGAACGTCCGTGAATTAAAAAAATATATAATTCTGGATTTGAGCAACCCATTGTATGACTCCGTGTCTATGGCCTGGACTCCGAGTTAAAAAAAATATATTGAATTTTGGTTTACTCCATCTAATTCTATCAACCTCCTTTAAGTATGGACATGTTCAAAATGACATTTATTTACAATGACTTAATCATTAGTGCGTTCAATATTATATAAAGCCCCCCTCACACACACACACTTTCTCCCATACTTTTTAAATCCTTTGTCATTTTTCGGCTACACTGTTTAACTTCATGTATGCAAACATTTGACTTCATGTATGCAAACATTTGACTTCATGTATGACAACATTTGACTTCGTGTATCACATTTTACTTCATGTATGGAAAAATTTGACTTCAAGCATGGCAACATTATTGACTTCATGTTTGGAAACAGTTGACTTCATGTCTGACAACATTTGACTTCTTGTATAAAAACGTTTGACTTCATGTATGAAAACATTTGACTTCGTGTATGGAAACTTTCTATTTCATGCAGGACAAACAAGACAAAACAACAATTAAATTGTTAACTGTCATATGTCATGGACATACATTGATAATTAGGACACACACTACTCTGATCAGAAAACGCCGACATTCGAATGTGGCTCAGACTGTGGCGACGACAACTCCAAACGGCTCTCGATCCCAGTTTTTAAGGTGCCGTCTTGTAACTGTGAGCAAGCGTGTTTTCTCAGTCTAAGAAGCTGGGGGTTGTGCAGCAGAGTGTAGGCGAGGAACCAGCGGATCTTTGCCGGTGTGGAAACAGCAAAGTTTTTTATATCGCAGAACATCATATTGATAATTAGGACACACACTACTCTGATCAGAAAACGCCGACATTCGAATGTGGCTCAGACTGTGCCGACGACAACTCCAAACGGCTCTCGATCCCAGTTTTTAAGGTGCCGTCTTGTAACTGTGAGCAAGCGTGTTTTCTCAGTCTAAGAAGCTGGGGGTTGTGCAGCAGAGTGTAGGCGAGGAACCAGCGGATCTTTGCCGGTGTGGAAACAGCAAAGTTTTTTATATCGCAGAACATCATATTGCTCCCGTAACCACCGGCGCCGTTCTGTCCATCCACGGTCGTCTCCGCAGCACCGGCTGCAATCCAACAGTTTTCAACCTGGGAGCCGCAGGCACTGGGACCTGTCTCGTCTCGGCAGCCGGGTTCGGTCTGTTGTCTCAGCTTGAAACGAGCCGCTAGGGCCCTCGTCCACAGCAGGTGCGTGAACACCCTCATGCATGGGTTGTTGTGGGCATTGTCCACCAGCAGCATGGAGACATACGCCCGGTGTCCGCTGTCAAGATGCTCCATGTCCCGGGTGAAGACACTTGTGTCCAAGCGGTCAACGAAAAATATCCCGAAGAGCGCATTCAGCGCAATTCTAAAGAAACAGGTAAACAACCCGACTGCCATGTTGGCGAACATAGAGTAATAGCTTACTAGCTCGTAGAGTTTTCTGTTGTTGACGTTAAGAGGCTTGTATCTATCGTGATAGTTCAGCCTGTCTTGGAGAAATAGATTTTCACTGATGAAGACTTGGACGTAAAACAAAAGAACCAGTGTGATTGGAAAGACAATCAGCTGACCGAGCAGACGCAACGCCTTATCTGCTTGGCCCAACAATATAATCAGGCCAATTGCTTCGTTGACGACCAAACCTGTTACAAGTGTAAAAGCGAAGCTTATAACCATGCCCCACATCATGAACGCTATCTGGTACCCCGGGTAGATCATGCTGCTGGTCATCACGTACTGGGGTGAGGCTGAAGTAACTGATAACAAGAACGACTTATCACCTTGGTAAATTTTTAGCATGTGGTAGCGGTAGTTTCTCATGGCCACAAAAATGTGCGCAAGTGAATTAGAAATGGAAACTGCAAGAGAGACCGAAGCTATGACGTTCATCGCGGAGAGGTCTTCATAGTCAATCTCGATGAACTTGCTTATAGCATTTAAAACAATGAAAAAGCTGTGCAGAATCTGTATCGTGCCACAGATGAGCAATATCCCTAGCCAGTAGATGATTATCACCAGAACAAAAACGCCGGCAACGATTCGGGTTGGGTACTTGAAAAATGGGAAATTTGTAAAAAATTTAAGCTTTGAGCTTTCGCACATCAACTCAACAAATGTTTTATTTGAAATGAAACTTCCTTTTTTCAGGGTCTCGTCCTTGGATTTTCGGAAAACCCACTTGACGTGCAGCGCTTGGTGAGGCTTGGCAGTTCCAGGAATGGTGTCGTCCAGATAAACACCCGACAGGACGCATCGTCGGAGAACGTTGATGCAAATCCCAATCAGGAGCACGTAGCAAAAAATAGGTGGAATGCCTTGTAGGAGTGCATACGCTCTTGTCAATTCAAGAATGACTAGGCTTTGTGGGATGTAAAGAGCTTTAATCCACTCGCTGTTGTTGCCACTTTCTTTAACTTGCTTAACCGTATTCACGATGTTCAGGTTCAGCAGTATTGCCGAGTAGCATATGCAGATGATAGCCCCGAGGGCTCGGTACCTGGTGGAGAGACAAGCGAACAGCGGGAAACACGTCACGCAACCGATGAACGCCTCGATGTACGAATAGAGCGCTCGCCCCCATAGCGGTAACGTGATGCCGGTCGTTCTTGCTGACGTGATGAGCGAGACGATCGTGTTGGTGATGGTGCCGAAAGCCATGGCGTAGGCTGCTCTGTTGTCGAACCCATCTAGGAATGAGAACGGTGTGATGAGTGCTGGACGGCCATCACAAACGTCCTGTTGGCATTTTCTCTTCTCCAGGAACGACAAGAGCAGCAGGAAAAGCACGGTGGGGATGAGAAGCCAGTAGTTGATGATGTATATGTTAAAGTCTTGGAGGCTCATTCTCTAAAAGGAGAAAGGAGTTAAAAGAGCTGTTAAAAAATCACCATTGTAAGATATCAGAGTGCGATATGATTTTGAATTGTACTTTTTTTATTTTTTTGTTGGTGGAGATCGATCAGAACCGTAGGACTTTTATTTCCTGGCTATTCTATCGGGATTTTAGGATGGCATTATTTATGACAGCCCCACAGCTTTGACGCACTGGAACATGAAGAGTGGTGCAAGGGCTCTGTCCGCGCATTGGCGGCACACATTTCGGGGTGTTCATAACGTTTTATTTTAAACAATTTTCTGAAGTTTATGTTTGATGGGTATATGTATGTTTTTTTTTGCTTTCGTGAAAAAAGTTTCGGCCAAGTCTAGGACCACCCAGAGCGTCAAAAAGTCTAGATACTCCACAACGTTGGGGCCATCCTCCTCTATTCAATTTTAATTCGTCTAGCCGTGGTTTCACACCATGGCAAGCGTGCAGCTCATGGCAAACCTGCAGCTCATGGCAAACCTGCAGCTCATGGCAAACCTGCAGCTCATGGCAAACCTGCAGCTCATGGCAAACCTGCAGCTCATGGCAAACCTGTAGCTCATGACTAACCTGCAGCTCATGGCAAACGGGAAATTGTGCTTGGAGACATTCAACTGCGGATACAAGTGGCTGGAAACGTAAAGCGCACTGCTAATTACCGATACTTTAATGAATTAGTGAAAACTGAATAAAACTATAACAAGAGGTAACAAAGCAGAGTTGCCGTACAGGCCACATACACATGGATAATAACCAATGAAATTTGTTATACATTATTTACTCTAATTTACCCGCAAATCACAACAAACAAAATCCAGTTACTCAAAAAGCCTTAATTGATATGCGGGCAAAAACAAATTCATATTATATATTACATTAACGAAAACTGATTACTTTAAAGCGGGCAAGAAGTCCAATAAAACGACCAATAGTTAAACTAGGAGTAGAAGAAATAACAATGATCACAATCTGTCCATGATACAAGTAATGTACAATTTGCTGAAAAGGAAGTTCATTGAATAACAAATAACCCGGACATAGTTTCAAACGACATAAAAATATGTATAACATTGTGACGCTCCAGAAATTAAAGTTTCAAATAATGGGCCTAGATCATTTTTTAAAAGTGTTTTTCAGTCGGGGCTTTAGTATAGTAGAAACTAGCGGTTACATGGAAATATTCTGACAGGCATTTAAAATAACAATTATTGTTTAACGTCCGGACTATTCCTTATTAAATAAGTATTTCTACATGAAAAAACAATTTAACAATTATTTGAACCGAATCAGCTGGGAGCAGTGTTTTGTTGCTTTTTTTTTCCCCCCGAGTTCCTCGTAGTAGTAGTAGTAGTAGCAGTAGTAGTAGTAGTAGTAGTAGTAGTAGTAGTCAGAGGCGTAGCGTGGTGGGGGCAGGGGGGACAGATGTCCCCGGGCGCCAGCTAGTTAGGGGCGCCAAAATGTGCTTTGATATTATTTTATTGATGAAAATAATGGGTTTTAGAGTTGAAAAAAAGAAAAAGGGGCGCTAAAATGGATCTTGTCCCTGGGCGCGAATCTTGTACCCGGGCGCCAAACACCCTCGCTACGCCTCTGACTTAAGTATTAATTAGATTTTAGATTATATAAATTTATTTTAAATTACACTAACACCTCGTGCTTTCACGTTTCAGGAACTTCTGGAACCTAGCTAATTTGCATACTGGATTTGTTCAGAGATCTGCTAAATCCTCAACAAACCCGCAGGAGTATTTATGTTTAATTTTTGAAGTAATTTATACGTTTTCATGCTCTTTAAATTTAAGTGTAAAATTGGTTTACAATTTTTGTTAATAATTTCTTTTTGGTGGGGTGTGTGTGGGGGGGGGTGGGGGTGGGAGGTGGAAGCTAGAGACATACAAGAAATCAGTTAAGAAACTTCTTCGAAAAACTTCCCTTTCCTATAGAAACATGTCGTTTTATGTAAATAACTGAACTGAAATGATACACATTTGCAGGGCCGATTCAAGGCATCGGCAACTCGGGAAATTGCCTATAGCGGTACATGCTTCGGGCGCCATAAGCAATCTTGAAAAACGTGAGGGCGCCTTAGAAGAAACATAATTGTTACTTCCAAATGTTTGTATGACATAATATATAATTGGTATGTTCGTGTACAGAAAGTGGCGGCAAAAGTCGATGCTGACAAAGGCATTTGCTCCCTTCATAGGTGCGATGAGTTCTCTTATTTTTATGTTTGCCCCATCGCCGTTTCTGATGACAGCTACTTCATTTTGGCGGAGGCGACGGTGGTAGATTTGTCAGCGTATTTCTTAATCGGTAGACTTCTTTTTAGGCAACGTTTGGTCGTTTGGCGGCAATTGGCGTATGTAGACCCGTCGTTTAGAAGCCGGCGACTACAATTATCCCGGAGTTTGGAATCAAATTTTAAGTTATGCAGGACAGTGCATATGTAGCGTCCTAAATCGAATAAACTCGGTGTGATCTCTTGATTTCGAAGTTTAGTTTAATAAATAGATTATAAATAACAAATTTAAGTATTATCTAACTTTAAAATAAATCAGTAACTTATTCACTATGTATACATAAATCAAAATCTTATAATTAGTTGAGATTTGCTAAATGTGTCAAAGCCATTAAATAATGACATTACGGGAATTCGAGTAGCTATTTATGAACTTTCAGAAATGTCTGCGTCTGATTTGGTAGTGGGACATGAAGCCAAAACACTTGTATCACAAATAGAGGATCATGTTTCATTAGTAATGATAAATGTCTGGGGTGATATCTTAGACGGGGTAAATGTTTTCAGAAAATCTTGCAAGACGCTTCAGTTGAACTATCTACTGCAGTTTTACTCATGAATAGTATCACTGATTATTTAATTTATTATCGAAAAATGGCTTTGGAAATGCAGTAGAGTCAGCAAAGGACAATATCTACAGAATTAGATGTAGTTCCAATTTTTAGAAATAAATGAAGAAGAAAGAAGATGTTTGAATATGAGTGCATTGACGCGTTTCCAAATGCAGATGACCCATAATTTTTGTTGGTGCCATGTTCAGTGTAATACTGGGCAGGGCTATAAATTTTTTTTATCAGAGAGATTTGAACAGTTGCAAAGCTTCAATAACGCATGGGGAGTTTTAACTGACCCAAAAAATCTCCCAGACAAAGATAAGCTCAAAGTAGCATGTTAAGGTTTCGAGAATAAGTTAAGGCATCAAGAAAATAGCGATTTAAATAGGTGTGCTCTGTTGGTTGAACGAGATATAGGCTACATGTAGCCACATTATTATTTCATCACGATGTAAAGCTTCCAAGAGATGCCGCTAAATTCACGAACACAAATAAATTACACGTTTTCATGCCAAATCTGTGGATAGCATTAAGAATAATGCTTATAATACTTATTACTGTAGCCGCTGGTGAGATAACCTTTCGTAAACTAAAGCTTATAAAAAATATTTACGATAATCCATGTCTCAAGACAGAATGAATTGTTTGGCAATTATATATATATATATATTTGCTGCTGGCATCCGTCCGTCACAATGTGACGATGGAGTTAGCTTCGGAGGAAGATATCCATATATATATATATAAATTGTATTGCAAATAATATAAATATAGAACGTGCAACAAAAAGATTTGCTGATCTAAAGGCTTAAAAAAATGACATCGGCAGGCTAATTGTTGATACTGTCAAATACAGGTCAAGAATTCAGGTCCTGAGATCTACAACATTCCATTTGTTCATTGTTTTTTTTTTTTTTTGAAAATAAAAAAAAAACTAGGATATAAACTTCTGGTTTTT